TTGATTACAACACTTCTGAAGCCATCATTAGAATTTATTTGAGTGTCTAAGCCGTGGGTTTCTGCAGCACTTAACTTTGCAGAACAGCACGGCCTCCGCTCGTACGACAGACAGGAAGAAAAGCAACTTCCCCTGTCTCATTTAGAGCAAGTGGTCTGCGTGGACGACAGCTAGCAGCATCTGTCTCAGTCTTTCTGCAGCACGCCACACACACACACACACACACACACACACACACACACACACACACACACACACACACACACACACACACACACACACACACACACACACACACACACACACACACACACACACACACACACACAACACACCACACACACACACACACACACACTACACACACACACACTACACACACACACACACACACACACCACACACACACACACACACACACACCACACACACACACACACACACACACACACACACCACACACACACACACACACACACACACACACACACACACACACACACACACACACACACACACACACACTACACACACACACACACACACACACACACACCTACACACACACACACACACACACACACACACACACACACACAACACACACACACACACACACACACACACACACACACACCACACACACACACACAACACACACACACACACACACCACACACACACACACCACACACACACACCACACCACACACACACACACACAACCTCTTAACAATTCCTGAATTATATTCTTATCAGCACTTTGCATGCAATTGAGCATTTCTAAACAAAAAATACATTTCCACACATGGTATACAAACCTGCAGGAAATACATCCAAATAAAAAAAAAATTAACTGCTGAACAATCTCCCAAAACACTATTTAATGGCTTCTGCTGGTAACCAGAATTACATTATAGGCTGTAATGAAGCAGAAAATGAGTAAGTGCTCATGCTGGTGTCTGAACTCAAGCGCGTTAACAAAACATTGCATTGGTTTTATACCATGGTGTGAATGAAAAACGTAAAAGTTAGTTTTAACCAAAGCACAAAAATATATGTTACTACCTAGTATCTGTTTATTCAAGAATAACCCTGTGTACTTACAGTGCATTTAGTGCTATTGAGTTGCTTTTGGTTTCATTTATGGTGGTTGGTGTTGACTGTTAAACCAAGACCTCTCAGTAACCATTGTTCCATTAGAGCAGTTCCACAGAATAAATAGTTCCTATGAAAAACTATTCACAGTGTTTTGTTTGTTTAGGGTTTGTTGGAGTTTCTGGAAAGTGTTACATTTTTTAATGCTTTGAGCTTCACAAACAAAACTCCAATCCTTCTGTGTATTCAGATAAACAATGCAAATACAAAACCTGCAACCTTGAAAAGTTAAGTGAACAAAGTGTCGGTTTAAGATGACTAACACTTACAATTATTTCATTTGTAGCGTTGATCAACATATCTGCTAAAGCAAAAGCACCACTTATTGTTGTGTTTACCAGAGACCTGCTAATAGGTTTGTTGCCTTTAAGCCATTTTTTTTAATGGACAAAGCATAACAATGAATTATCGACTTAATACATATTAATTAAATAAAACCAAAACCACCAATTAGTTGACTAATCGACTTAGAGTGTGCAGACATACGGGGCTCTAATGTGCTATTTGAGGTAAAAATGACCCTTAAAAACGGATAGTATCGGTTTATACTCAATTGAACTCCTGATAAAATTGAAGAGCTAAATATTGTGCAGCCAAGTTGAGGTTTCGATCAGGTTTCTATGATGACTTGTCATGCCTTTATTTATATATAACTTTAATTTATATAGACGTTGTCAACAAAGGGTTGCCATATAGACCAAGCAATAGGATGGTAACCCATAAGCTCTCTCAAACGGACCTCTATTAATATAACTTCACTACAAATCGATCGATAAAAAATCCACATTTCCTGCACACAGCAAACAAGTCGGTTTCTTTCAGTTGCCATTGCATAGCGGCACGTCAGCCAGCAGCACTGCCAGCGGATCACTCAAGTTGCACAATAGGGAAGTTAAGCGCCACAAGAAAAATAGGTTGCATTAACAAAACGTGAAATAAGACATAACTGAAAACCTCCCAAGCATCCTCCTCCCGTCCATCAGCTGTTAAAAGCTCGAGTAGCAGTGATGAACACATGAGTTTATGTGCGAGCTCCACACAAAAAAAATCGGCTAAGGTCGTGCAAGCCTTCATTATGCAAGGCTTCGACATTATTCTGAGTTATCCAAGGGCAGATTAGTAAGTAAAATACCCACACAATCATTAAACTAGCTTGAGATTGCACTGCTTGTGCTGCATTGACAAACAGAGATGGGCCATTAACGCGAAGGCTTTGCAGATACACTACAGCGCCGAGGGTCTAACTTTCACACACTGAGCAGAACAAGGCACATACCGATTTTTTTTTAAATTAATAAAATGCAGTGTAATGAATAAACTCACGTGTTACATGTATTACCACCGTGTGGGACTCGCTGCACACATGGTAGAACCGCCTGTGTGTCCGAGTCAAGTTACTGAACGTCACGGCTTGAGCAATAAGAGCTGCCGAGCAATAAGGGCGCTTACACTCGACTCATCTTTTTGAGAGACGGGAAAAAAGACGAATGCGCCTCCACAGTGCAAAACACCTCAAGCAACGTATAACTAACAACACAGAGTACGTGAATATTTAGTCTCAAAATTCCCCTCTTACCGCTAAGTAGTTTTTCCAAGTCGGTTTTTTAGATGCTGTTCCTCTCCGCCTGCTCTCTCGTAGCAACGTTAAGATAAAGTGAGTAAAAACCGACAACCCCGGTTAGACCTTTCAAAATAATATGTTCTAAAATCTTCTGTAAATCATAATACTTTTTATTTTCTATATTATGCATTTGTGTTTTGTATAATATTGTTCTATTTAGTTCGTCTCCATCTATAACTCTATCTATTACTTTAACAATGTACATTTCCCCGAATAAGGGAATTTAGATTCTGGTTAGAAGGGCGGAAGTTGCCACTGTCGTCAGAGCAACAGAAGCTCTCTTCGTGTGAAGGGTTTATTCTCGCGATACTTCCGGTGTCACTCCGGTTGCGTGTCGCCAGCTTGACGCAGTTCTCGTTCACGACCTCATTCCAATATGGCACAAACGGCCACTGCGCATGTTCTGCCGCCTATATGCCTCGGAGCCCACATCACACTGACTTCCATCTACACACACGCACACACACACACACACACACACACACACACACACCACACACACACACACACACACACACACACACACACACACACCACACACACACACACACACACACACACACACACACACACACACACACACACACTACGATATCACACAACCAGAAGCAATACCAAAAATATGTAAAAACCTCACACAAAAAGAAAAGCTGAATGATTTCTGTTTCCTTTAATTCGCACACAGACACGAGGGTTAACCCGAACAGTCGTTATGGTTTTTTTTTTGTAATCCCCAGCGGAATCAACACTTAGTTAATGGTTGAGCTGGAATTAATTGCACATATAATCGACCCACTTTCGATAAGTAGACTGTTATTTGTCACTAAAAACCTATTTGTTCTGTAACGAAGTAGTAAACAGATTGTGTTACTGAAGGTGACCTCGAATTGCCTTAATTTCCCTCAACATAATATTTGTTAAGTAAATAAAACAGCAGCACAATGCGCAATAAAAGGCAGAATTTGAAAGTAGGCCTACTTTTTAAAATAAATCACATAATATCCAGACCATAATGAAATGATTCTATATGGCATTGCTGCCTCCTGTTACGGTACTTCTGCTGCACAACGATATCAAGTCGGGTTTTTTGGAGAGGGCGGGAGAAACTGCTGGAAATATGCTAGACACTGTGAATGCAATGCTCAAAGTCCATCTTGTTTGTACTGGAAATGTGATTTCTTTATTGAATACGCGTATTTGTCGTTTTGAAAAGCGTCTCCATAAACCAGAAACATGTTTTTGACGCTGACTTGGATCATATATAAATATATGTTTGGGCTGCTGCCTCAGATTATCCTCCACAGCAGACCAACCCTTCGGATGCCTGTTATAACAAAAGAAAAATGTGCACGCGTTGAGCTGGAAACAGTACGATACATGTGAGCTACAGAAAAGCGATCTGATCCTGAACAGTCGAAACAATCGGAGAGCCATGAATAAATCAATAGGGGGCAGGCATTTCGTCCACATTTATTCAGTCATTTGATTAAAGTGTAGAACTGCTCTCACTATAAGCTTGAACAGAAGACGACTGATATTGGGAAATTATTTTTAGCTCCAAACCACCGAATAAATCACGTTTCTTAAATTATATATTACTTGAATAAATGCTTTTAAAACCTGCTGTTTGTGTTGATAATTTTTAAAGGCTCTACAACTTTAATGCAGCACAAGGTGTTTGCATAAAGGCAAATGTCTGAACCACTTGGAGAGGTTTTGTCGCACAGTGCAGGTGGCTGTGATGGATAGTTTTTTGCTCCCTGTCCACATCCTGCAGCAGGCAGGGGATTACAGCTGGGGACAGAGGACGAGGACAGGTCATGAGCCATGCGCACTGCAGGAATGTCTCCTCGCCTGCTGGTGCAGTTACAGCACCTGAACGCTAGATAGCAGTAAAGCCTGACAGCCAGGTCTATCTCTCATGTTGACAAATTCCCTGTTTAAAATGTTTTGGTGCCTTTACAAAAGGACTTCACATTATCCTAAGGTAAAGTTCTGTGGATGCGTGTACACTTCAGGCATTATGAAATAAAGAACCCAGCTAAAGGAAGCCAGCTGAGCGCCACAACACACCAGCAGGAATGCAGTGATTAGTCCTGGAATCTCTGTGGTATGCAGGTCTTTACAATAGCATTTGTGTTGTTTTAAGAGCCTCTACATATGAAGCCTTGTGATATACATAAGTCTGTTACTTGTGTGAATGAAATCAAGCGACACAGGCTGACATTTAAGAGTTTACAATGTATTTATTTATAATTAGATGTAAAAGACAAGGAGAGTAAAAAAAAGTAACCCATAACTTACAGGCAGCTCATTGGAATGTACATATTAATTTTCCATACACAGCATTATTATTTTCCATGTTAAAATTCCTACATTCAAGTAATGTTACACATGTTCAAACACTCAATGCTTACACAGAAATGCCCATTCCCCCCAATGTAAAATAACACATCCTTCAACACAAACACATGTGAAGGTACAGTACCATACCATAGCTGTCCAATAAGAGATGAAATATACATTGTGTATGGAATGATTTTTTGTTCTATGCTTTAGATTGACGTACAGCAAGAGGCTTTTCTCCCCAATGGCACACACAAGACTTGAAGACATCCTTGGCTAAATTAAAAAACAAATTAAAGCTTTTCAGGTTATGTGAGACTGGGATTTGCCTAGAGCATCTCCAATCTCTCCAGACAGTTCAGTGGGAAATACAGGGAACTATGCAGCTCTGCAATTTCATTACCTCACGTCAGATGGATATAAATCCTCCCAACTTTATATTACAGCCTTTCACACGATGCCTTTACGTCTGGCAGAGGGATACAGACTACGTTCCTGACTACAGTAGCACCATTTGCATCCAAAAGATACGTGCACACACCCAAATGTTTTGTATGCATGTGGTAACACACACACACACGTGTGTTTAACAGGAGGCATGCAGTAGGGAAAGCACACAGGGCGACAGTAAATACCGTGCTTGTGCATTTGAATTCAAAATGTTCACATACAGTACATTAGATGATTGGTTTAGATTTAAAGTGTCAACAAAAGGCACAATTAGAAAAGTAAGAAAAAACAGATTTAATTATTGACTAAAAATCATCGTTACCTCGTTTAATAACAATCTCCCTTAATCTCCTGGAGTTTTATACTATTTTATACACCTATACAGTTTTGACAGCTGAGACATGATTATTGCTTTAGATGCCAGCAAACATCTCAGATCTGTCGTATCCTTCTCTTCTGATAGAGGAAGCGAGGAAGTCATAGTCCAGCTCAAATCTTTTTTATGCTCTTGTTTTCCATCCAGTTGAACTTTTTTTTCCGAAGTGCTGGTCTAAGACTCAAGGCAGCTTCTTCATTTGCTCATCATTTCTTCCAGTTGGGGGTTGATGAAGGAGAATCCGGCGAACGCTGCCTGGTCCATGGAGTCGATGAGGTTCTTGTCAGCGTGGGAGAGACGCGGCTTCTCGCTCAGGAACTCTCGATCAAAGTTGCTGCAGTCACTGGGGGATTTCTGTGTGGGGGGGGGGGGGGGGGGGGGGCAGTCAGGGATTTCAGTTAATGTAACAAAGCACACACTCAAGTCATCCGTTTCCTGGATGCAATCTTTATCATACAGGTAACTCATATTTCAGGGTAATTGAAAAAGGCTCATACCACTTTGGGCTTAAACGGAGGCACCATCTCTCTCTTCTCCAGTGCTGGCCAGTTAATGGTTTTAAAGAACGGATGTGCACGGATGTCTCCCACCACGCCCAACCTGCGAGTGGAATCTCGCTCAAACAACTGGAAAAAGGAAGAAAGAAGATTTTGATTAGAGAAACAACACAAATCAGCTCCCCTTAATACTGAATGCCACGTAGGTCTGCACTGAATAGGTTTTTTCACAAAGTAGAATTCTATAAAAATAAGGAAATCAAGTGTTTTATTTGCAGATAAAGGTTTCGCTACACTAATAGGATATTTGTAGAATAAGATATCAGGGGTGGCTGCGTAGAATTGTTTCCAACCCGTCTGATCCAAACATTTCCAATAACCCCAGAGCCATGTAACATTGAATACTTTCCAAAATTCACAATATGTTACTAAACATTTAATATGATTGCACCAAACGCTTTTAATTTGAACCGAAATAAAACTAAAAGATGTATTCCCTACTGTTTCAAAGTATTATGAACGTCATAAAATATGATGGCATCTTAAATCTTATTTGGAAAACCTCAATCAAATCTTTAAAAAATGTGCACCGCCCTGCAGTGAAATCTATTCTTGTGTGTAAATTCAACACAATCTGTGAATATGTGGAACAAAGCGTGCTTCATAACAGATGTAGTTACCAGTTCAATGAGGCTCTTGGTCTCCTTGGTGATCCAGCGAGGGTAGTGAGGCGTGTCCGACCGGATGGAGTCAAACAGCTCGTCCTCGTCGTCGCCTTGGAAAGGGGACTGACCAATCAGCATCTCGTACACCAGCACACCGAAAGACCACCAGTCGACTGAGAAGGTGTACTTCTGTCCCAGCAGGATCTGAGAGGAGAGACGGGTTCACAGAACATATCAGAATAAGGACGCACAGTGTGTAGATGCAAGCTCTTTGACGACTAAAGGTGTCTTTAAACTGAATGATTGAAGGGATGCATATCGAGATAAGAAAGGGGCTCTTTAAAACAAAAACAAATAGAGATATTCTAGACAAATTGGCTAAACAAATTGGTTTTAAAGAGGTCCTGTTGTGCTTTTGGGGGGTTTCACCTTCCTGTACAGTGCTGTATACTGTAGGTTTGTGTGCATGTAAAAGGTCTGAGAAGGCTAAAATCCAAAGCTAACCTCTGGTGCGATATAGTCTGGTGTCCCGCAGAATGTGGTGGCTCTGACGTCTCCGAACACTTTCTCTTTGCACATGCCAAAGTCCGCTATCTTTATGTGTCCGTCCTTGTCCAGCATCACATTGTCCAGCTTCAGATCTCTGATGAAGGACACGGGAGGAGATTTATACAATGTACAATCCTGTTTGAAGTACCGTAGTGGAAATTGGCTGTGGGATCTAACCTGTAGATGATTCCTTTTGAGTGGAGGAACTGCAGTCCCACGATTATCTCAGCACCATAGAATCTGAAGGGTGAAATGTTCAAAAGCAACGATTAAAACAAGCTGCTGGTAGTCCATGGTGGAAAATGACAGTCGAGGTATTACTCATAGTTCTCTAAGTGCGTGCTCACGTGGCTCTGTTGAGATCGAAGCGGCCTTTGTCTTGGATGTGGAACATCAAGTCGCCTCCATTCAGGTACTCCATTACAAAGAAGAGGTGCTCCTGTGCAAACAACACATTATTGTCAGCTCACTGTCAGACAAATGAGACATGAAAAGTGTGTGTGAGCCTGAGAGGGATGGATACAGATAAGAGGGCATTGGAGTGTGTGTTTTATCAACAACTGGGAATTGTCACTGTTGCTGGGGTATTTGCCTTACATTGCTTTTTTAAACTTTTCTATGGGTACTGTTAGAGATATTTTATTTTATTTGAAAGCATCTAATAATTATATTGCATATTTAATTGACATAATGTATGTATGAAGCAATTTGTTCACATCATTAGAATCATTATTTTAAATATATATATTATATAAGCAGCTTCAGCCACCAGGTATATAAACATGTATATTAGTAGACAGGGAAATTATTCTTTGTTTTTTTGCCGGCTATAAAATATATATTTTTTAACTTCACAAACATAATGGCCAGGACAATGGACTTTTTCCCTGAGTGAGATTTTGTATTTTTTCGAGGACAAATTGCTGCTACTCTTACTTTGGACTGGAAGGTGGAGTAGAGGTGTGTGAGGAAGGGGTTGTCCCAGGCGAGGGCCAGGACCCTCTTCTCCACCATGGTACACTCCACGTCGTCATCCATGAGAACCACGTCCTTCTTCAGAGCCTTCACAGCGAAGAACTGGCCCTGCCCCTTGAGCTCGGCCAGCAGCACCTGGGGAGTCAGAGTGACTCAGAGTGAGCACTTCATCAGGGTGATCACAGCGGTTTCAGGGAGTAGCGAAGATACATGTAAATGAAGAGGTTATTTATATCTCCTGCTCTTTTAGTATTTCTTAATATTCAATGTGTTTGAAAGTGATCTGCCATCAGACCACAGTGGATATAGATGAACTCTCCATCATGTGCTTCATAAATGGGTCAACCTTCGTGTAGGGTGTATGTCAAATGTAGCATGGAATATATAGTGATGGATGAACGGCTTGGCTCATTACTCATCTCTCACTAACCTCAATGTGAGGGAAGTCATTTACCAGGCAGTAGCATTGGTCTAAGAAAACTAGTTATTCAAAGCTAAAGGTTTTAAAGTGCACTAAGCCACGATTACATGATAAGAGTCTGCCTCTTAAAGATGTGTGCCCTCCAGAGCTTGCTTGTGTTGAAAAATACATTTTTTACAGACGTCTTCACATATTTATCTTTCGTGGCAATGTCACCTCTAATGGATTCCTCACTGCAGATGTTCCTACTTCTTCTTAAGCATGACATTCAAGGACCAAACATGGCATAGCTTGAGACACGGATCACGGGTAATCACTGTTACTACACTGAGAACAGAACACGAACAGGCTTTGCAGACAATCACACACCACGATTAAGAAGAAAGGGAGTCTTGAATGTGTGAACGCTCGGCAATTGTGCTGCTGTGTTACACTGATGGTGTCTCTCTTACTCTCTTTAACTCAGAAACACAATATATGGTGCAAGTTAAGTGAAAGAGCTGTACAAATTCAATCAAATGTATTTTTCTTGCACATATTTATACATTAAAACACTTTTAATGACCTATGACTAATTACCTTTTCAATGATCCCAATAAACTATACTAAAACGTGGAGATGGAGTTTTCTGCTCATAAATACCATGGTTAAATTCACATGAACAACATTTACATGGGGATCATTTAAGGAATATTGTGTTTTTTTAACCATATATGTTATATGTATAACATCATTGACATAACAAGTGTTTCTATATTAGTATTATTTCATGTTGAATCCAGGGGAAAGGACTAAACGTTGGGACCAGGGGGCCTACCTTGCCAAAGCTGCCTTTGCCCAGCACCTTGTGGAACACCAGGTGGTTCATGGTGATGCGAACCCTGGAAACAGTCGGTGTGACTGGGGCGGGGGTCGGGCCCACCACGTGCCCGCAATTCTCATCTGCTATCAATACACATTTGCACACACAGAGTAAATACATATGCAAATCTGAATGCAAAGACGAATACAAACTCACACAAAGGATAACGATTTGAGGAGGTGAACACAGGTCAACAGACTATCAGAGACATTTGGGTTCAACCTTTAAATGGTCAAACTTGATTAGATCTCACAATGTTTGATTAAGGTGCGCGCTGCAATGAACACATCTTACCACCAGGGTCTACTGTTGCACCTCTGATGTCTTGATAGATGCCAATATCGTCTGCATTGGGAGCAGGCTTCTTCATAGATGTCTAGGGTTGAAGAACAGACATTGTACATCTACAATGAATCATTTTATAATAATCTTACTTTTTAAAAAACCCACTAAATGGCGTAAAATGTACAAATAGTCCACACTATGTCACGGTACACACCTGGCTGATTTGAAGCAGAGCCTCTGCCAGTAGTTTCTGGTTGATTCCACACAGATTGGCCACTTTCTTCTGACAGTTACTATGAACGTTCATGCTGCAGTCTGGTGAGAGAGGGGGGGGGGGGGGGGAATTGATTGAAGTGGCAAAAGGAAATACAAAGAGAAGATTGTCAGAGGCATGGCAGGAGAAAGGCAGATATGATGAAGTAAAATAAACGCATTTCACCCACCATCACATTTGAGGCCCTGCTTGTAGAGACCCCAGAGCAGGCTGCCACAGTGGTCACAGAAAGTGGGGCTCTTGTAGTTATAGTGCTTGAAGCGATGCGGCATGTCGATCTTGAAGCGCTCTTTCTGGAACTACACACACACAGGGATCCATTAAACCCACAGAAAGCTGTTGAGTCAATTAGACACAAGTGGGACTATACATTTAAGATCAGAACAAAATCTAAATGTCACAGCTAATACTTTATTATTGATTCTAATGCTGATGTGTGTTATCTTGAATTGAATCTGATTTAAGTTGTACTGAAGAATTGAATTGCAAAAATAACTTTGCATTGCTTCGAGTAAGAAGTAAACATACTGAGCAATATAATGATTAATGGACAAATTATTATGCCATAAAAGAAACAAGGCAGGAATACAAAGAACCGCAGCGGGAAAAAGTAATAAATGGTCTGATCTGAGGGGGGGCTGTGCATCGACGTTGGAGAACTTTGCTCACCACGGTGTCGCGGCTGTTGGCTGCCGTCCCAGTGCACCTGCCGATGATTTTGTCGATGCATTTCTTGTGGATAGCTGCATTGCATTCTGGGTGAAAAAATAAATAGTGTGTTAACTATGAACATTTTTTAAAAAGTGTACATTTTGATGAAAATGCGGTTGATGAAACACTCACGTCTGCACTTGTAGCCTTGCTTGTTGAAACCCCTGTATGGTAGAACAAGGAATATAATTAATACATTAAAAAAAGCAATTTATATATATACAAACATCAAGAGTTAGGTTTATGTTTATTCTATTTTCCTTTTTATTTCACATTGTTTTTTTTAATGTTTTTATTCTTAAAAAAGATACATATTTTATTTAATCTATTCCAAATTGAAGCAACTGTAATGAATCCCAATTCCTCCCTGGATAAATAAAGTATTGTAATTCAGATTGGTGTGAGAAAAAAAAGGATATATATATGGCTGCTAAAATGTAAGCAATGTATGCAGGATGTATGGCAGGATGGTTTTCAATAGTATGATTGTGTTTAAGACAGTGCTGTACTGTAGCTACACAGGAGATACTTAGCAATTCCTTCATGCAACAGCTACCAAATGACATCTGTACTGTCCACTAAGTATTATGTTAGTACAAAAACAAGCATGGGATGAATCACGATAAACCTGTTATTGCAGTTGGCACAGCACTGACTCATCGTTTGTATTTGTTATTAGCATAGCTGTAATCTTACACATAGATCACAAGACTGAAACTTGACAAGTGGCCACAGAGCCAAACAAATATTCAGACAACAAAAACAACAACTGACTTTCCCTCCCTGTCTCTGAAGGGGAGATGGGAGGGGCTTGGCTCACAGGTTAGTGCTGCTGACACAGTTGGAAGACAACTTGACAGCTTTTGTGGGATTTCCCTAGACTCTGACTCATTCTCATAAGACCCGTCCTGCTGTGGTTTCTACTATTACAAACCCCCCAGGACGGCTCCGTTTAGGAAACTAGAAGCGCTACGAATTCAACAGCATAGAGAGCAGGCTGGACTTTTCTTATTGCATAACTGATGTTTTTGTCTTGTTTGGTAGCGGAGAACATGCAGTTGGTGATAATAACAATGCAGAGAAACAAGTCGACAGGCAAAGTGGCTGCTTCTAGATAAGTCTCGACAAGATAGTATAATGTGCAAATCACTAACATTATCTCTCACTGCAGATACTCAAAAGCATTTGATGTGCTAACCAACTTTACTACTAACACATAATGGTGACAAATAGAGCTGCAATTGTTAATCAACTAATCAATTAGTTCAAGAGGAAACATAATTGCAAGATATGTTGATAAAGTTTTAAAAATGATGTTTTCAGACCCTCACATATGGGGATTTCGCCTTTTTATGTTTTATATCAGGTTAAATGGAATACCTTTTGGTTTGGGACCGTAAAAACAAGACATTTAAAGACATCATCCGGGACTTTCAGAAACTAAGATGGACTATTTTTCCTAGACCTAAGGATAACCGAGATAGCAAATGGCAGATTGATTGGTATTGAACAGCATCATTAGTTGCTCCCCTAGTGGCAGAACAGGGACAGCTGTGATGTAACCAAGGCTGGATTTGGTGTCTCACCAGACGAACTCTCTGCAGACGGAGCAGAAGGTGGGCTGGCTGAAGAAGGTGGCGCAGAACTCGTGGTTCTTGATTAAGTGAACCTTGGGCTGCTTGAAGGCTCCTCTCCTCCTGTTGAGGGTCGTCACTCCCTCCTCGGAAGAAACCTTCAACGACTTCTGACCCGGCGCTGAGAGGGGAGATCAATTCACAAATCATGCTAATGTATTCCTAATCTGTTGAAAAGATGTTGGTTAAAACAGCTCAGCTTAAGACAAATAATTTTTTTTCGGGATGCCAATTCATCTCGACCAAGGAGGTTATGTTTTCAGAAGGAAGAAACCATTCAAATGAGAAAAAGGCATATGAAAAAACCCATTATTCCTTTGTGAGATAATGCATGATAAAGTTGCTTTTCTAGTTATTCTCTTCACAACCTTATTTGTTTACACTCTAGCCGATAAGCTTTGTTGATATTCCTTAAAGGCCCTGTCACACTGTCCCGAAATTGACACCCGATGGACACACGATAAAGGAAATGTTCAAATTCGGCTGTGATCGTAACAACATCGCGCCATTCGTGAGGGCATCTAAGCCATCGTATGACCGTCGGTGGAGTTTCTCAGGCTCCGGCAGCAACTTCGTGAGCGGCAACTTCGTAAGGCACCCGTGAGGGCATCTTGTCGAATCGTGTCATCTTCGTGTTATCATCGGTGCCATCGGGCATTCGCCCTCACTCTGATCGGGGCGAATGCCCGATGGCACCGATGATAACACGATGTCCTCACGATGGCCTTACGAAGGGCAAAATTGACACACAAATTCAACACGAAAATGAACTTTCGCAAGGTCCTTCGGCAATTTTTTGGCATGCCAAAGATTTTGCCACCACTCACGAAGTTGCTGCCGGAGCCTGAGAAACAACACCGGCGGTCATACGATGGCTTAAGATGCCCTCACGAATGGCCCGATGTTGCTATGATCACAGCCGAATTTGAACATTTCCTTTATCGTGTGTCCATCGGGTTGTTTTATTGCACAACAAAATCATGTAAACATATTATGTAAATAACCCAATTTGTGTTCTGTGAAACTGAAAAGGATATAATATATTATTTTGAAGGAGAGTTGACAGGAAGTTGTTGTTGCTATGGAAACAACATTACGGAGAAAACGTAATATTTTCTACATATAAAGACGGATAAAGTAAAGAACAAAGTCTGAAGATATCAGTACAGTATCATAGTACTGTACCATAATTGTTTTTGGTACTTTCGTTGCAGTTGTAGGTCTTAAATGTAATGTAAATGTTGCCTTCGTGTGTGGTTCGGGGCCATCTTCGTGCGAAATTCACAATTCCATATACGTGTGTCCATCGGGTGTCAACTTCGGGACAGTGTGACAGGGGCTTAAAGGACGGCACATTATCATGAATGACTCATCAGTGCAAATAGCCAAGGGGAGGCCACCATTGCTGCTGCTTAATGGGGGGTAAATACAGAAAAATGCCATCGTTGATAGGCGGCTTCGACTGACGCAAATCAACAGGGTGGGTCAAAAGTCATCCAAAGAAGACAGTAAAAGAGGCGTGGGAGAGGTAAACAAAGGAGGCAGAGGAGATAGTGGGTAGAAGAGGGGGAGATGGGGTGAGATAGAGGGACAGGGGTAGCCTTAAAGAGACTACTGATAGACAGCTGAAAGTGTGATGAGGTGAGCGAGATAAACTTACTTCCTCTCTGCCATTCTCCTGACAGATGTTTATGTTTGGAAAGTGATCTGAGCCAAGACAGTGGAAGGTGAGTGAGAGAGAGGTGGGGGGGGGGGGGCAGACTGAGGAGGGCAGACAGCGCTAAGGGCCGTTCACACATGACTAAAAATACTTCAGGCTGCTTTTCAGGAAACCTGTGGAGTGTGTAGGAGGCTGATGCAGTGTGGGGCTCTTTCATAACAACCCCTACCCCCCCCCCCCCCCCTTCCCTCTCATGACCCCTCCAACCCTAAACAGTGAACCCTGTCTGTGCTGCTCCCACGCAGAAATCCCCCCTCAACTAAACTAGTTTGTAAATATAACCCGATCCCACTCCATGTTGGCAGACAGCTGTATACCATATACCGGGCTCCCTGTCTGGATCCCAACTTCTGCTTCTGGCAGCCAAAGTGAAACTAAAACAGGCTTTCAAAAGCAGATAGTGATAGGAATAGGATTTTGAACTCCAATGGAAGACCATCTTATCAAGTGGCCTTATCTTACCAAATTAATGGTTTCATGTTTCCCCCTCTTCCCTGCACGGAGATCTACAACTCTCTACGTACAGCCAGCCCTGAGGCTCGATTCCTTCCCGACCTTGAAGGACTGTTACAGAGCTTTGGTTGTGAGGGCCACACCTGCAGTCAGCTGACAGGCCCAGTGAGATATTTCACCAGGTTGCAGATTAACCCTTCGCTGTTTGAGAGAGAATTTATTGCAGAGCAGTAAGCCCAGAGCATTTAGTCTCCTCACTCCTAAAAAGGTTGAAGATAACTCATGATGAACTTATTAATGAACTCAAGATAAGGATTCCTTTCCAACAGCAAACATAGCGTTACATATAAACTCAAGGGATATGTATGTGGGTGTACTTGAGAGAAGAAGGAAAGGGGGGAAGAGAGAAAGAGAGAGGGGGGAAGAGAGAAAGAGAGAGGGGGCAGGGGGTTTTCCCCAACAGCTGACACTACGACACTTCTTTCTTCAGATGACATCACTCCCTGGTGGTCTAGTGGTTAGGATTCGGCGCTCTCACCGCCGCGGCCCGGGTTCGATTCCCGGTCAGGGAACACTTGTTTTGAATGCCGGGTGAATGCTTTTTAAAACCAGGGTTTCTAAAACTTTTCATGGAAATCCTTTGAATGTCCGTCTATTTTTTACCCTGACTAGGGCCAAACGGTGTGTATGTGATGACGGTTGCAGGGTTGCTTTCTAAATTTGCTTTGCCACGTCGACATAATCTAACCACACCCACACAATCCTGATGGAGAAGTTCTATTTTTGAGGAATAAACTGATGACAGGTATAATTGGAGAAATACTTTTAACTGACTTATTAAGTCACAAATATGAAACAGTACAACATATTTCAAAGCGTTACCTGCATCCGTGTCCTCCAGGAAGAACTGCACAGCCATCTGGACCCTCCCTGAGGGAAGCAGGTCCAACCAGAACTCGGTGCGGCCGGCCGTCTTGGACTTCTTGCAGCGCTCTGCCAGCACAGACAAGCCCACCGTGGCGTTGGCCAATGGCTCCTCGGCGCTCTGCATGAGGACCACCTCTAGGACACGCCCCTCGTTGATGTGAGCATCAAAAGTGGACTTCCAGGAGGGATACATGGTGGGCTTCCTCTGCACCAAGGTCTTTCCTCGCTCTGTGAAAAAAGGATTCATCATTAGGAGGAAAAAAACGTTATCTTTAACTTTTTCTCTCTCAGGAAATTCACAGGAAAAGAGTGATTATCCCTCAAAGTTTATTTATATACATGTTTGAGCCAAGCAGATGGAGAATGTTAAGGCTCTTACACTTGGGACATATGTTCCCATTCTAGATAAAATGATGACTGCGTGTGTGTGTGTTTGCATCTGTACATACCCGTGTTGACAGACTCCTTCATCTTGATGGCACAGATGGGAGTTTCGGTTAGAGCGGGCAGGGTGCCCACGTCATAAGCATTGAAGGTGATACGCAGGAAGGGTGCCATGGTGACCGCTCACCGAAGCCTCCTGGAACAAAGACATAAACACAGTTAGAACATCACACACATAAGGGTCACAGGACAGATGGTGTTGTATGCTGTCTATAAGTATGATTGGAAAGCCCCTAGAGGAACATCAGTGATTTACACATCTTCAGCCTGTACTTAGGGTGCTTCAGTGCTGAGTGTAAAACAAGAAGGAAGACAGTCTGAGGCAAACAGTGTCCTCAGACGGGAACTACAGAGGAAGTCGAAGTTTAACTCAAGACATCACTTTGGAAACTACCTTCCAGTAAGGAGGGAAGAAAAAGCTCAATGTTCCTGTTCTCATGTGAACAGGAATACCAAAAAGATTACATGTCCAAGAAAAGCCGAGAGTCCCAGTTTAGAGGAAAAGACAAACAAATGGTAGAAGATTAGCACAACGTTAGCTTTTTCCTCCTGGTTGTTAGGTCCTTATTCCCAACAGTCTATACTCATCTGACTGTGGAGATTTGGGTGTCAAGCCATTCGTTTGGAGGACTTTTGTAGCACTAAATCATACCACAGTGTTAATCCATTGCATAAATGTGTGGACAAATGGGGCGTACATTACACCCTTAATAAACCTAAAATCTAGCCTACTGTGAGTCCTGTATCTTTGTTGTAGTATTTCCTTTTCTTTTCTTTCTAGTTTGCTTCCCCTTTCTACTTTTCTTTTTTGTTAAACCACATGTATCTTTTTCAGTATTTCCCAGTAGTGTCTCTGCAAATAAAATCCATCCTTTCTACAACTTAAAAACGTTCTGTGTCACCCAAGAGTGACTGTCACCCAAGGCTGTCTTAAGGCCAAATCAGTCAATTGCACTATTAGAACGTGCTTTCATTCATTTGTTATTCACCTAAAACCAATGTATTTTGACATATACAGTAAGTTGTGCATTCACCCTCCAAGCTAAACAGTCCAAGTGCAATTTCAGATCCGCACTTCATTTTGAAAGTACAAAACCTAAAGCAACCACAGCTTGCAAAAGCGTCCACTCGCTTGCTTCATTTCAGCCGAGTTGCTCCACCGACAGGTTTGTTCAAAAGTGTTTTCCATGTGTTTCGCACACTTCCTCTTAAAGTGCTTCTTGTGTGGGGTTTGAACAACAGTCTCACCAGAGTTAATATTAATCCGCCAGGCTTAAAGACACTTTTTGGGGAACTATTTTTGGGAGGCAAGATGACAGCAGGCAAAAGGTTTAGTCCTTGAAAAGGGATTCCATTGTATATATGCGTGTACTTTCATCAGACCTTGTGACTGATTACAAAAGGGTGACATTTTCTGGGAGCATCCAGTTAAGCGTCATGTTAGACAAACACAGAGCAAGAACCAGAGGTCACATCAGCCTACAGCTTCATTCCCGGTGCAGCTATAAAATCCACGCAGCACTTTTTGTGGGTTTTTAACAATAGTTATTTCAGCGACGTAACACAGCTTTGATTCAGATGTTTGGCTTCTTCTGCTGAACAGGATTACCCTGTTGCCTCCATGTGTCTGCTTACATAATGAATCATTCCTAAGGGGATGACTTCAGTTTGTGTTCATGTTGCTTTTCTCACTGCTGAATGTTGAGCTCAGGCTCTAGATGACTGAAGCGCTGCATGCTGTGATACATTTTCATGCATGCTGCTCAGCATGCAAAGGTGGAATAGATGCTATTTTGAGCTGAGTGGCACTCTGAATGCAGAGCTTTAGAAAGATAAGTATTCTGTATCCCCAGCTGAAAGGTTTTGATGGTGGAAACCTTCGTCTCCAAGTCAACAATCTGGAGCTGTTTAGTAGTACAAGTCGTAGTGCAGTAAACAGGTCTCAGGTGTAAACGTGTGCAGCTGAACTTAACTCTTGGCTCAGGATATAGTGTGTAGGAGGCAGGGGGCCCAACAGAGGCAGACTGTTCTGTACGCTGCTGGTTTGATATCCAAGACAAACAAGAGAAATGTAAATGTAGAAGTGAATGACTGACACTAATGTCTCAGCATCCATCAGTAAGATGCCCCTTGAGCAAGCTCTTAGCCTCCTCCTCCAAAAGTCAGAGGTTACTCAGTAGCCCACGGATACGTGAGAACGTGCCTAGTGTTCTTTGAGGTTAACTGGATAGAACAATTGCATATTAATGAAGTCTTTGTTTGTATTTTAGTACTGCTGGTTACTTTATATACAAACGATCAATTGATCAATCTAGAAAACAATGTATTTAATTGTTCCTAAATCACAAATGTCTCTAGTCAAAAAGAGGACCATCACGAAACAGGACCCTTTATCATTGAGCTTAAATAAGGAGGCTATTCAAACAAAGCACAAGAGATAATCATTGTAGAAAAACACACACAAAAAATATTGAATCAAAATCTTGACAGAAAAGAAATACACACCAAGACTAACATTTCCAATTTCCCATCCACTTTACACACTCTCTTGTGTACACACACACAGGCCTTGCTACAGAGAAAAGAGAGCCTTGTTTCCCCAGACAGAGTGGAAAAAGTGAGCACATGCAATTGGGGAAGGGGTGGGAAGAGGAGAATAGCTAAATGGGAGAAAAAAAAAAAGATAGCCAACCCACAGGAAGGCAGGCCAGTGGACACGAGGAGAAATCAGACTCAATGAAAGAACCAGATTTGCACTCAGACGCTGACGTCCAGTGATTTAGATATTGATCTTATGCTTGTGCGAGGCCTCAACGAGCTCTTTAGCTCTTCTAAATGAAGTCTTTAGCCTTTGTCCTAGATTCAAATGACTGCCAAGCACCAGTTCCAGTCAATGTGAAGCTGGATCACTTGTCATTGGTTCTTGAGTTATGTTATGCCCAGTATGCAGGAAACACAACAAGATAAATACACCATATTACTAAATGCCATGTGAATTAACAAGGCATATCAGCTATGAGGAAGTTACCTGAACCATTTCTATTCTAAAAACAAAACAAAATGATGGGATATATTTCAGAATCAGATTCCTTTCATATCGAATCCTGTGTTTAGCAGAATCACACACATAACAGCCAGTAGCTGAACAAGTAGATCATTACACAACAAGGGAAATGACCTTTAATAATGACGTGAGACCGATATTCCATTACTTGCAACACAATACTGGAGTCAGAGATGCATGACGTTAAACCATCATCAGTCACGCTCAGCGAAGCACTTTAAATGATAGTCAAAGGTTTGGTATGCACTGAACTTGGAACAGGTGATCGAGCAGGTCGAGCAGGTTGGGGAGCTTTGTGTAAACCTGAACTAAGAAAGGTAGGCTTCTTTCACGGGAGGGACCACACAAACAGAATGACCTTGTTTCATCTCGTGAAGTTAAATTAGAAACATTGGAAAACCATCATTCAATCAAAGAGATTATTATAGAGATGACTCACTGATTTTGACGTAGTAATGCCTTGAGGGAAACTCTTTTTGTCAGACGTCGCCGGCCGAAAAGTTAAAAGGGATCGAGAGCTCTGTTCAAATATACTTTAACAGATAAACGGTACAATAATATATCATTCTGCCACATAATTAACAAAGATTTGCAAGCCTTTTTTATACCATAGAAACAGTCCCTAAATGTATTTTAATTCAACAGGACAACAATGTTTACCATGAAGACAAGGCATCGTTATAGTTTCTTTTCGGTCAGTGGAGTATTCCCTTACAGATTGGACAACGTGCAATACGAGCGATGGGATGGATTCCAGTCCAACTGAGTGTGTTTGGTTGCCAGATTCAAGGCAGAAAGCTCCTGAAACAAGCATGAAGTGAACATGGCCTGTTAGAGCATTGCCAGACACGATACCACATGTATTAATTGCAAGGAATCAAATATGAAACATCATGCATGACAGAACACCACACTGCGTATTAGGGATGCCAGCGATTTTTCTTTTTCTTCGATTAATCGATTATTATTCGCCAGGGCTGCCGAATAATCGATTTTGATCATGGTCAGTTTCTGGCAACCCTACTGCGTATCCAAGCACTAAGTCAAAGATAAGTGATCATTTGTTTTTCATTTATAGAAGACATTCAGACTAAGAGCACTTAAACTTTGAGCACCTGTAAAAGCGCTAACAAATTAAATCTATTATTATTATTAAACATTCCCATGAGCTACCTGCCTTTTCTTGACAGGTGACATATTGACTTGTCATAGCAGGATATGCACATAGCAAAAACAATGGCTTAGTTACAGTAAGTGTCATTAAATCTTACAGTAAGGTATTCGAATGAGACCGGGCCCTGACACCGTCTCACCTGAATGGAATGCAGTCCATAAAAGATATTCAAACATGGAAAAGCACAGGTGTAAATATACATTTAAAAAACAAAGGCTTGATTTCATTTGCCTGCTTCAGTCCTGGCCTTGCGCATGCTAGCATTTCAGTCATGCTCTCATGGCTCACTTAGACCCATAAATAGAGGAGACATTGTTAATGTTATTACCAACACCTGTGCTTATCCTTCTATGACAAGCTAAAAGGCCTTCTGTCAAATACTGTAGAATAACTGATTTAACTCACTTGAATGAGAAATGCTGAGACAAGTCGTCAGGATCAGCAGCACACGAGACACTTTGACTCAGTCAGTACTTAGACATATTTTGACCTTACTGACCCTAAATCATAATATATGTTTTCAACATGTGCGTTAGCTGGTGGTTGTCTACTCAGAAAGGGAGAGGGGGGGGGCTGCAAGAGAGCTTGGAGAAAGCTGAAAACAAAGTCTGCCACTCAAAAAACTGGCCCGACCGGATGTTAAAAAAAGCTAGAAGATGAAAGGTGAGACACAGGTAACAGATGTCAGAGCAATCACTTTGAGTCTGCCACATTTGGCGGTGTCTGGCTCACTTGGTGCTGCCTTGCGGTTGCAGAACCAGAAAGTATTTGACACAATGCAGTATTATGTTTGGTGATAAATTACAGGAAATACTAAAGCATTTTTGATAAGGGAGGAGAGTCACACTGTGCTTGCACTTCTTGTGATCAAAACACTTTAGAAACCCTGTCCTGCTGT